CTCCTCCTTACTCCCCGCCCTCGCTTGCCGCAGATTGTTGCTTGTGTTGAGGTAGTGCGTCTAGGTTTGACATACTGAGCGCAAATTCTTGACGCTCCGCGCTTCCCCACCGGCCCATCCAGAAACATATCGCTAGGCGAGTTGCCTTGAGGGAAGTGTAGAAGCACGCAGCGGAACAACCACCTTGAAAATGCGTTGAATTATGTAACGGATGTTCCCCATGGCGCGGCGGCTTCATTGGGGTCTTCTGGAGTCCTTTTAAGAGTTATCTTGAAACCCTCTCGGGGCGGGGAGGCTATCTTTTGCAACGGGAGGAGAGGGACGAAAGGAGAACGGGAGGAGGAAGATAGGGAGAAGAGGATGGACCAGTAGATGGATCTGCGAGGAAGAAGGGGACGACGATGAAGGCGACTACGACAACGAGGAGTCAACCATGAAACCGTCGCGGAGATTTCACTCCGCGAGCCTCTCGGAAGCTTAATGCAAACCCTTTTGCGAAGATCTTGCAAAGACCCTGCAAAGACCCCTTCAAAGATCCTGTAAAGATTTGCTGCAATGACCCTGCAATGACCCCCAAAGACCCTGCACACCCTGCAATACCCTGCAGTCGAGCCATCTGGAGGCCTCAGAAGGCCATCGGAAGCGAAAGGGCGAGAGCGCAACAACATTGATCCACCTTAGGTTTAGCAATGGTGGTTCCCTTTTGGGGCCCTTTTGGGGCTCGTTTGATGCGCCTTGGGGCACCTTTGGGGGGGTCAAGGTGGCATCTTGGGGCCGTTTTTGGCCCCATGGCTCAAAAAGAGATGCCGGCACCCCCGCCGTCCCTGTCAAAACCATTGCAAGGTGGTCGCGGGGCGCCCGTGCACGCTCCAGATGTGGAGGCAGAGTGCATTCTGTATTGTTTTACCCAACCCTCCTGCGCTGGGTACTCGTTTTGAATAGAGCACTGCGGTCTCCACCTTCCTTCCTTCCCGCCTCCTCCTCCTCTCTTCCCTCTTCCTCTCCTCTCTTGCTTCCCTTCTCCGCCTCTCTTCGCTCCTCCTCTTCTCTCTTGCATCCCTTCTCCTCTTCGCTCCTCCTCTCTTGCTTCCCTTCTCCTCCTCTCTTCGCTCCTCCTCTTCTCTCTTGCCTTTTACGTCATCCCTTTGGGGCTGCGATCTGTGAAACTGTCGCCACTTTCGAGGGCTGCTGGTGGGTCCAGCGGAGTGAGGCACCACGCAGATTCAGATTAGACCTCGCCATCCCTGGGGGGCTGCGATCTGCGAAACTGTCACCACTTTCGAGGGCTGCTGGTGGGTCCAGCGGAGTGAGGCACCACGCAGATTCAGATTAGACCTCGCCATCCCTGGGGGGCTGCGATCTGCGAAACTGTCGTCACTTTCGAGGGCTGCTGGTGGGTCCAGCGGAGTGAGGCACCACGCAGATTCAGATTAGACCTCGACTTTCGAGGGCTGCTGGTGGGTCCAGCGGAGTGAGGCACCACGCAGATTCAGATTAGACCTCGCCGTCCCTGGGGGTTTGCGATCTGCGAAATTGTCGTCACTTTCGAGGGCTGCTGGTGGGTCCAGCGGAGTGAGGCACCACGCAGATTCAGATTAGACCTCGCCGTCCCTGGGGGGCTGCGATCTGCGAAACTGTCGTCACTTTCGAGGGCTGCTGGTGGGTCCAGCGGAGTGAGGCACCACGCAGATTCAGATTAGACCTCGCCATCCCTGGGGGGCTGCGATCTGCTGAGCGGAGTGAGGCACCACGCAGATTCAGATTAGACCTCGCCATCCCTGGGGGGCTGCGATCTGCGAGGGAGGGCTGCTGGTGGGTCCAGCGGAGTGAGGCACCACGCAGATTCAGATTAGACCTCGCCATCCTTGGGGGGCTGCGATCTGCGAAACTGTCGCCACATTCGAGGGCTGAGGGTCCAGCGGAGTGAGGCACCACGCAGATTCAGATTAGACCTCGCCATCCCTGGGGGGCTGCGATCTGCGAAACTGTCACCACTTTCGAGGGCTGCTGGTGGGTCCAGCGGAGTGAGGCACCACGCATATTCAGATTAGACTTCGCCATCCCTGGGGGGCTGCGATCTGCGACACTGTCACCACTTTCGAGGGCTGCTGGTGGGTCCAGCGGAGTGACGCCCTACGGGAATTCAGATTAGACCTCGCCATCCCTGGGGGGCTGCGATCTGTGAAACTGTCGCCGCTTTCGAGGGCTGCTGGGGTGGCCAGCGGAGTGACGTCATACGGGGATTCAGATTAGATCTCGCCATCCCTGGGGGGCTGCGATCTGCGAAAGGCCCACCGGCAGACCTTGCAGAGAAACTGCGGAGGTTCAGTTCCCGCACTGCAACATGCAGGAAGGAGGCAGAGAAGCTGGCGCGCGAGCTAGGTCTCGATCGCTTCCTGCACTAGATATCAACAGGTATGATCCTGTGGACAGGCAGCAGGCATGCGTTGACCGAGCTCCTGCAAAAACGAAACAGTCTCTTGCTTCCTCCCTCCTCTTTCATCATCGCCGCCCTAGTCCTCCTGTCACCTTCTGCATTCATGCTGCTGCTGCTGCGATGGCTCCTCGCCCCTTCCTACTGGGTTCGTCCTTTTCCTGTCCCTCGTTCCCGCCCCCGCTATTGTTTAACGAGCCTTGAGACCTACTCCTCGTCTTATCGATTGCTGTTCTGTGAGTCGTGCAACATTACGCATCCCATGTAGGTCGCACTACACATCGCCGCGCCTGCACTTTCACGGTTCCTGCTAATGTTTCCCTACTCCTCTTGCCACGTGATGCCATCGGGTTGGGTACGTCGCAGGGTAATTTTTAACAGGGGTGGTCGGCCTGCGCGCTGCGAGCGATATGACGGCACCGCCGCCGCCGCTGTCAAAACCAATGCGAAGTGGTCGCGGGGCGCCCGCGCACGCTCCAGATGTGGAGGCAAAGTGCATTATGTATCGTATTTTGGCAGTTGTGGTTGGCTTGCGCGCAGCGAGTAATATGACGGCACCCCCGCTGCCCCTGTCAAAAACCAATGCAAAGTAGTCGCGGGGTTTCCGCGCATGCTCCAGGTAGAAGGGCAAAGTGCATTCCGTATTGTTCCCAACCCTCCTCGGTAGGGTACCCGTTTTGAACAGCATTGTAGTATCCGTCATTCCTCTGTCTCCCGCCTCCCTTCTCCTTTCTCTCCTGCCTCCCAGCTCGTTCCTTCCTGCGTGCCAGCTTGCCTCCTGCTTGGCCATCCCTGAGGGGCTGCGATCTGTGAAACTGTCGCCACTTTCGAGGGTTGCTGGGGGGTCCAGCGGAGCGACGTCTTACCCAGATTCAGCTGAGACCTCGCCATCCAAACTGCTGTCGCCACCTTCGAGGGCTGCTGGGGGTCCAGCGGAGAGACGTCCTACCCAGACTCAAATTGAGACCCTGCCATCCCTGTGTGGTTGCGATCTGCGAAACTTTCGCCGATTTCGAAAGCTGCTAGGGGGGCCGAACGGAGCGACGTCTTACCAAGATTCGGATGATGTCTCGCCATCCTTCGGGGGATGCGATTTGCGAAATTGTCGAAAGTTTCGAGGTCTGCTGGGGGATGCAGCGGAGCGACGTCTTACCCAGATCCAGATGAGACCTCGCCATCCCTGCGGGGTGACGATATGCGACGCTGTCGCCACTTTCGAGGGCTGCCGGGGGGTCCAGCGGAGGGTCGTCCTACCCGGAGTCAAAACAGACCTCGCTGGCTACGATTTGCGAAACCGTCGCCACGGTCGAGGGCAGCTGGGTGGTCCAGCGGAGTGACGTCTTGCGTGGACCACCGGGAGACCTCGCCATCCCTGGGGGCTTCGAGGCTGGCGGGCGAGCTAGCCCTCGCTCGCTTCTTGCGCTAACTCTCAATCAGTTTCTATATTTTTCGAGCGCTGCGGCGACATGGCGCAGGCAACGTTGCATCTTTAGCGTAATACCGACATAAGCAACACTCTTCGGTCTCTTCCCGTCAGTTTCGTCGTCGTCCTCTGCCCCCTGCCACCTTCCTTCAGCTGTTGCCGCGCTGACGGGTCGGCCCCCCACGCGTCCTTTTTCCTGCCCTTCGTTTCCGCCCCAATGTTTTCAAGTTTGTGTCCTCGCTCCTCGTCCTTCTGTTGTTGTCTTATGAACCATTCCACGTGAGCGCACCCCGTTTAACTTGCACAACATATAGCGGCGCCAGCGCTGTCATTGTCCCAGCAAATTTGGGCCAAGTCCGCGTGTCACGTGATGTAACTGGGCTGGGTACGCCACAGGGGCGCAGCGAGCAATATGACGGCACCCCCGCGCCCGCGCATGCTCCATATTTGGAGGCGCAGTGCGTTTTTTTGGGGGGGGGCGGTGGGGGGGCACGTCTCGGGTTGCCACACAGTCGGGTGGGGGACGGGGGGTCTACTTATAAGGAGCAGTGATAAACCCCGTCCCCGAGCTGGGGAAGGAGGGAGCTTCGGGAGCGAAAGGACAGAACTCGTGAAACGACCTACGCCCAGAAGGCCCGGGGGGATGTCAGGAGGAGCCGGCGGCCGCCGTTGCCCGCATAAAATCGCATCCCCCCCCCCCCCGGAAACGCGTTGCTCGAGCAAACGCGTTGCTGCACGGCTTTCGAACACCGCGGGGACGTCCGTGGCCTCGCTTGGCTCGGAGCCGAAACGCACCCGACTTCCTTGGCACAGCGGCTGCACACGACCCAAAGTATCTTGTTGTTGTTGTTGTTGTTGTTGTTGTTGTTGTTGTTGTTGCTGCTGTGCTTGCCGTGGCGTTCGTCCGATTCCCGTGTCGGCTGCGAGCAGCCCACCGGGAGGGTACCAGAGAGCTCCCGCCAGAAACATCTAGACTACATCACGGCACGTTTGCACGAGCGGGGGCCGAGACATCCATCCGATTGGTTCGCCGCCGTTTGCCAACCCACCCTTTCGACGGATCAGCGCAGGGAGGGGCAAGCCGCTGCTCTGACTGGTTGCCTGCCGATCGTTATCTTCGCACGCGACGCTTCGGTGCCGCAGGAGATGAAGATCGGCATGGCGAATTTCGGCGTGTCCGCGAAGATGTGGGAGTTGGACGCCATCATGAGGGCGTTCGACGAGGACGGCAACGGCTCGGTCGACTATGAGGACCCCCAGATCCCTCCCCGTCCTCTTGGGACGGACAGGAGGCGGATGGGGACGGGGGAGAAAGATGAGGAGAAGGAGGAGCAGGAGGAGAGCAGGAGGGGGGAGGAGAAGGGAAGATGATGCGGGCGATGAGGGCGAGGAATGGGGATAAGGGTGAGACGGGGGGCAGAGGGGTGATGGAGGGGGCCGAGGGCGACGACGGGGAGGGGGGGAGGGGGGGGGAGCGGAATGGGGAAGGGTGACGGAGGTTGAAGGCTGAAGGCAGACATGGGATGAAGCAGATGAGCCTGGAGGCTTGAGGAGGCTCGCCCCCCAGGAGTTCGCGGAGATGCTGGAGACGCGCGCCAAGGCTTCCGAGCCGATGGACCAACGGAGATCGTTCCTGAGAAGGCCGGGCCGGGTGGCGAAGCCGCGGGGGCGACAGAGACGGGAAAATGCGTGTCGAGCTGATCCGAGCACAATCCTACATGAAATCGGTGGGCGGGTCCCAGAAAATTGATGGCGGAATCCCCTTCTGGAAGATTGGCCCCTGGGGAGGCCTTGGGGGCCTTTTGTGACCTGTGAGCCTCTTGGGGGGCCTGCGGGGCGGCTCTTGGAGGCGTCTTCTTTGGGGGCTTGCTGGCGGTCTCAAGGACCATCTTGCCAGGGAGGGCTCCTGGGGCCTCTTCGAACTCTCTCTTTGGGATCCCTTTTGGGGTCCTCTCTGGCGCCACTTCATGCTATCACGCCCTCCTGCGGCGATCTACGGAGCGTGGCAGGCCGTCTTGGAGGCTGATCGAAGACGCCTACGGCGAATCACCGCCGCCCCCTGCTCGTGGAATCGCCGATGTGGCCGAACGTCGAACGTCGTGGCCAGAGCTCTGCCAAGCTATCGGTCCACGTGTTCCCCCAGCCGTTGTGGAAGCCCTTCGGGGAACTGCCTCCCGTCGCGGCGCAGCAGGGGCCATCCGCCCGCGCGAGTGGCAACACCCGCGCGAGTGGCAACACCGGGCTGCGGAGTCGCAGCTTGGCCCGCGTGCAAGAGGAACAAAAACGGAGGGGAGAGGGCGGCCGCACTGCGGGGAGCGCGCGGGGGCGGCCAGGCTGGAGGGCTGCCCCTGGCAGCGTTCGTGGGGCGGCATCACGACGCACCCGGGAGAAGACCCACAGCCGCAGTGCGGTCGGAACCCAGCCATCGAGGGGCAGGAGCAGCAGGCGGCCGGCAGGGCAGGGCGCCAGGGCGCTGGGGGCAGCGGCGTGGGCGCACTGCAGCGGGCCGGGGGGGGGAGGGGCACGGTGCGGCCGGCGATGCGGCGGTTGCGGAGAAGGACCCAGGGCAACTGCGGCAGGCGGAGCAGTGGCGCAGCGCAGCTGGGAAGCCAGGCAGTGCAGGCCGCAGGGAGAAGGTGGCGAGGGCGAGCGGTGGAGAAGCGAACGCCAGCTCAAGGCTGGCGCACGGCATCACAGCCTTGGACGTGGCGGAGCCCGGTGCAAGTGGCGCACGGGCGGGGCTCCCACGCGGGGGAGGCGGTGGAGAGGGGCAAGCCTCAACGCGGTGACGGCCAAGAGGGTGCGGCCCACAATACAGGTACCTGCTCGGGCCTTCACTCTGCCGTTCCATGAGCCCCTGGCGGAGCGGCGCTCGATACCAGACCACCACCTTAGCGTTCGTTCTCCGGTTGCTATGGGGAAGTCGCGGCGATCGGATCGACGGGAGGCCACACGGAGACGCTCGTCAGTTTCTTCGTCTGGACATTGGAGGTCGGCCAGCAGGAGCCACGAACCGCGCGGTGCTCGCCAGCCTGAAACGGACATTTCGCGCCAGCTGGAGACCATCACGGGAAACCTCACCTCGCCCAACCAAGTTATGATGCAGAACAGCCAGGATGTGCTAGACTTGCGCAACGCGGCCCAAGGGAGCCTGACCCGTTGTGGTGAGCTTTCGGACCAGATCACGCTCATGGGCCACGACATCCAGCAGCGTCATGCGCAATTGCAGAGCCAGCTCAACCATGCCCTGAAGGAGCAGGACAATAGGTTGGAAGCGATGCGCTAGGACTGTCTTGTCAAGCCTAACGAGGTCTCGACGGACACCAATACCGATAAACCCGTCTTTGAGGTCGCCGTGTTGCTATTGGGAAGCAGCTGGCTGTTATTGCGGCTGCCCAGCGTCCGGCTCAGGAAGATATCTGTCAGCTGCGGTCGTCGCCTACGCCACCATCTTCTCCGCCCCCCCCCGGCTCTTCTTCACCACCTGCCAAACCACCCCAGCCCAACCCGAAGGCTTCAACTTGCCCCCCATTTCCTGTTTGGGGGGGTCGGGGAACATTGAAAAAAAGCACGTGTGGAACCCATACCCCCGCAACCCGAAATTCGAGTCTTCGGGTCAGGTTGGGGTGGTCTGGTATGTAGTCACTTCCGCGCAACCAACGTGAGGTCTGCAAGCTGTTGCTGCCATGCTGTCCTCGCCCTTCTCTTGCTGTTGATCTGCGCGCGGTTGGCGCGGCAGGCGAGGCCGCCTTTGCCCCGCTCCAGGAACGAGCGAGGGAGGAGGAGGAGGAGGAGGAAGAGGAGGGGTAGGAGGAGGAGGAGGAGGAGGAGGAGGAGGAGGAGGAGGAGGAGGAGGAGGAGTTGCCCGCGGATGGAACCTGGGCCACTCCTGACCCTCTGCGCCCTGCCACGCCGCTCGCGCTCCGCCTGCGCCGAGATCTGGATGTTGATTATCGCCAGCCGTTTCTGCCCCTCGGTCGAGTTCGCGCTCGACTGACTGAGCCTGTCCCCCCCGAAGGTTTCGAAGGAGGGGGCGCGGGCCTTGGTGGCTCTGCGCTCATTTCGAGGCGCACCCGCGACCCCGCCCAGGCTGCGAGAGTCAATGTCTTGGAGGGCGGTGCGGCGCAGTGCTCTTGCGAGCGGGGCACATCCGTTGAGTTTGGAAGTCAAGACCACATTGCTCTGATCCAGAGCCCATAGCGAGGCGCGGCGGTGCAGCTGCGCCGCCCCTTTACGCGCTGTGGCTGACTGGAGCCCCTGATTTCCGGGGGCTGCCTGCTGCTGAGCAGGACAATGGGCCCCCTGGTGTTCCCGAGGCATGCTTGTCGCCCCACCCACCCCTCTTTCTCTTTTCCCCTCTCTCTTTGTCTCTCCCTCTCCCTTGTCTCTCGGCGCGTGGACCCGCGGATCTGAGTTCAGTCGCTCGCGCATCGCGGCGCGCCTCAGCGAGATGCCGAAAATATGTTACCTCATGTGGCACGAGCGATACTATTGCAGTACAGGGGACGCACGGACATGAAGGTGACATTGCTGAGCTCGAGCACGAGCTTGATCACCATTCTTTCGGGTGCTCTTTCTTCGGCGACCCCCGCTCGCAAGGGCAGGGTCACCAGGTTTTCTTCGGCGACGCTTCTCTCTCTCTCTGTTCTCTCCCTGGAACACCGCGTCCTGATCGTCGCGGGGGTGCTGAAAAGCGTGCTCCGCGGGCCTCCCGGCAACCTGAGTGCGCGCAGTCTGCACCTCCCGCAAACTCCAGATCCGTCGTCTCTCCCTGAGGGCGTCCTTCCCCGCGCGCACAGCGCGACGGACCGCGGCATCCGCCGGGCGGCTCTGGATACGAGGCGCACGTCCTCTTCGTGGGCGGCCGGCACTCTGCTCTAGTCTTAAGTCGGGCCTGTCCCTCCACAGGGGGAATATTCAAAAATGGTCAAAAAATAGTTTGGGGACTATTTCCTGAGTATTTGTTGACCGTTTTGGAGTATGTTTTGAGTATGTTTTATTTTTCGTTGAAAAACCCCCTGTAGGGGGACACGCCCGAATTAATTCTAGTCGGGAGAGGGAGGGGTCGCGGGGACGGAGGCGGCTGGGCTCCGAGCGGCGCGCTGCAGTCTCGACGCTTCCAGGGATGTTTGCCGCCCTCGACGGAATGGCGCCAGGGCCAGGGCGCTCGGAGGGGCAAGAGGGGCCCGGGAGGAGGAGGAGGAGGAGGAGGAGGAGGAGGAGGAGGAGGAGGAGGAGGGAGGAGGAGGAGAAGGAGGAGGAGGAGGAGGAGGGGCTCGGGCCAGGGCGCTCGCAAGGGGCAAGGGGGGCCAGACGTCCAGGGTCGACTGGATTGAGATTTCCCCCCCTGCCCTTCTTCTAGACCTCGCTATATCTGCGAGTTCGATTGGCATGCTAAGAGCTGACGTGCCCAACGGCCACATACCTGTTCGAGCTGTTCTTGGGTGGTTCCTTCCCAACTCCAGGCAGCCAATCATTCCCCCGAGGACTACTGGGCTTCATGATTTTGGTCAGGCCCTGGAAGGGCTGCGTCTGCAGCTTCCCGGTTCGTGGGGCGTCTGGGCGCAGCTCGAGTTGGCGAAAGTTATGCACTTTGAGGCTGCGGCTGCAGCGAGGACTGCCATTTGTGCGCAGCCCGCCGACAGCACTCGGGAGCGGCACTACTGGGCGATGACTGCGCTATGGGCCTTTCAGCATGGAGCTGCCAAGCGCGCACTTGCCGCTCTTTAGTGACATTCGCGGCCGCATGTTCACTTTTTGATAACGAGTTTCGGTGCGTCAACATTCACGGCGCCTGCCAGCGTGTGTGTTTACTTCTATGAGAAAATACTTGATGCCGAAGAAATAAAGATCCTTCGGCCTTCGGCCAATGATATCCAGAAGCGTTCCATGGCTGCGCGTCTCCCTCGCCGTCATCTCCTTTGGAAGAAATTCCGGCAGCGAGTTGTCTTAGGCTCCGTCTCGGACTCTGATGGGACCCCCTGTGGCTCCTCGTCGGGGTCTGTGAAGGCCCTCTGGTGCCACTGGGCTGAGGTCTTCCAGACTCCCGCGGTGAACCCCGAGCTCTGGGACGAGCTGTCGACCTTCATTCAGGTGTTGGAGGGCCCGCTGGACTCCGATGGGGAGCTCGACTGTGCTACGTGGTACGTGGTGATCTTTATGCCCCCTATCACAGTATCCCTGGCCCGGACGGCATTGCATTCAGAGCGTGAATTACCTACCCCGCTTTCGCTTCCAGGCAAAACCAAGCCATACCACGCGCCTCCTCGTCAAGCGGCCTGACCAGTACAGGCTGCAATTTGGCATCGTTTGGTATCTCTTGGAAGCGAGGGTGGTCAAAAGCGAGGTAGGTTCGTTTTCACCTTATGCATACGCAGTTTGGAAACAACCGCTTGTCTCACGTCTCCTCCACTCGTGCTACCTCACCCCCTTCGCCGACGACACTCGCTCTCCTCCAGAAGGTATGCGAGCTGCAGCCTTCCTGTTTCTGTTGCCCCAGGGCGAGGGCCCCGCTCGTCGCCCCGGCCACGAGCTTACCTTTTTCCGCCGCCCGTGCCAAGCCACTGAAGAGGAGCAATGCGGACGCACAGATTCGCAGCAGCGCGCGTATCCGCCCTGTCGCCGCCAACGCTCGCAGGCTT